ATCAATCAATTCAAATTATCAATTAATTCAGTTCATTTGAGAAAATTTCCAATAACTTAGTGAAACTATTGCATAAACATTTTCTACATCCAATAAATTAATGCATTCACGTTACTTCCTAGCTACATCTTCATTGTTTTCGAAAAATTTAATTTAAAATATACATTTTAATTAGTAAATTCAATCTATAATGATACAAGTAAACTTTAAAAAAACAATTCAAAAGAATATTTGTATTTGAATTTTCGTATTTCATTACCGATCTAAATTATGAATATAAATGAGCATATGTATAGTTGCTTGCCTATGTGAGGTATGCAACCAAACTAACAAAAAATGCTATTACCTAAACTCAGTTGCATAGTTTCATTCATTCAGTTTCATTGATCTGTGAATTGCTGTGAATGGTCTGAAGTGCTTTGAGAACTGTAGCAGCCGAAATACAACAGTGCTAATAATTAAAGTGCGTAGTTTCTTTATTTAAGCAAATAAATACAATTCATGCATGGCAATTCTCAAACTAGATTAACGACAATTTTTTTTTCTGGTTTCACTAATTTTTTTTTTTTTTGCTTATTTCGCTCGTTCAATTCACGATTCACAATGATATTCAAGCTTTACATTGAGATTTCATCGAATAATATGCTATTATCACGCTCTATTATTGCAGCAGATTGGTATCCCTGTTTCCCAGGGGGTTAGTTGTTGTTTTTTTTCTTTTGTTTGTTTTCATCAGCCCTCTTGATCGTACTTGATCGAGTGCTGACGGCGGGCGATCTGCGTGGGCGGTGTCACCACTCGTGCAAAATCAATAACGAGAAATGCAAAAGTCCAAGGTGTATCCGGTGGAGAAGATCCTGGACAAACGCATCGACAATGGTCGTGTAAAGTACCTACTGAAGTGGCAAGGATATCCCGAACATGCAAGCACCTGGGAACCAGTCGAGTACCTCAAATGCCCGGACCTCATCGAAAGGTACGAGCAGGAGGAGAAGGAAAAGAGCAGGCCAGGTATGCGTCCACATTTCGCGTTCATCTGATCATGTCCATGAATATATATCTATTAGAATAATCTTGCAGTGCTCACGTACGTCTCCGACCACAACCATCCACCGTACAACAACAACAAGAAGTTCGAGTACATTGTTGGGGTAACCAATGAGAACAAAGGTGATGCATTTTTGTTTTTTCATTTTCAGCAGCTTGCTAACAAAGTTTTTTTTTTCTTTTCGGCAGGATCCAACCATTCGGGCACCTTGTTGTACTTGATCAAGCTCGAGGGCTTGAACATAGCAACAACTCATTCGGCGACCATCATCAACAATACACATCCACAGATGGTCATCAGTTTCTACGAGTCCATCATCGAGTGGTCAGAGGTCAAGGAGACTGAAGTGCCAAACTTAGGTTTGCGCTCAATTATACAAATAACAACTAATCAAGTTATAATTGAATGATTTTTTTTTTTCAGATTTGAGCACTTCAGTGAAGAAAGACTTCAAGGATCTTCCTGAAGCTGTCATCGGAGCCACAAAGGTTAAAGGTAAATTAAAGTCGTCTAAATTGTTAATAATTTGGCTTGATAATGACAGTATACCGGAAGTACGGTGATACACACGTGACAATTTGGTTGCATACTTAAAATTTATTGACTGAAGCTACTTTCGTTCATTTCAAATGAAACTATTCGTTTATAGGCAAGTTGAGGTTCTTGATGCGATGGACGAGTCCGGAGGAGCGCATCGAGTTCGTATGGGCGAAGGAGGCTTACTTGAAGTGGCCTCAGCTGGTCATCGACTTCTTCACGAGCAAGTTGGATTGGGAGCCGATCAGCGCATAGCACGGGGTGTACTACCTGCGCCCGATTCGGTCCGCCAAAGGTAGAATTAAAACGAAGAAGTCCATCAAGACGGCGGACCACCAAAACAGCAGCACTTTCTACAACTTATAAATCATGTATCAAAAACCTGACACAAGTTCTCAACTCTAAAGAAATAATCTAATAATATCCATTAACACATTACAGTTCGGAGAGCCAGGGTTTTACTAAGATCTCGAAGAGAAGAAAACAGGGTTTTTAAGTTTTACTTACAACTGAAAATCTTACAATATTTTTTGATACAGACGTCTGATGCGTCTTTTATAGCAGTTTTCTTTACGAGATGATTTCAAGAAACAAATATGTGATTATTCTTAGATGCCAAACTAAATGTTTTATATTGAAAACTAGTTTGTTTTACGATGTGATTGAAGAAGTTTTGTAAATGTACAAACTTTTGTAAAGATTGAAGGTATTATTAGAATTAAGTTTAAACTTTTTCATTTAGAAACAAATCAAAACTGCTGCTTCGGACCGTAATGTGTTATTATGATCATTATTATTATTTCAATTGGAAAACGTGATTGTGTAATCCCTTTGCTTTAAGTGTCGAACTCCTGTAGTTTCTCGATGTTACTTAGATGCATGTCTCCCCTTTTCTATGTTGCAGATAGTAGGCTTTGAATGTTTAAATTTGTCCACGTGTTGCGGACGCACCACACCATCACATATATGACACAACACACCATCACAAATTGGTGTTACTTAACTTTCTTGAATTGAATCTCCTGGATCGTTTATTAAATATATATTAACAGATATTACAAAATATTAAGTTTATAGTTTATACAAGTTGCGTGCATGTTGCAATGCATATAAAAATATATATATATTATGGATCACATTAGCCTTTTAGTACGGTTACTTCTTTAGCGTTTCAACCTTGAGTTGAGCGAAGATTAAATCTTCTCAGAGCAAGACGAGTCTGTCCCTGAGGGAACTCTTCCTGCGCTTCTGGTTGAGCTTGGTGAAGGGAAGAGGCGGTTGATTCGCCAGATACTCCCTGTCCACATCCAAGAATCTCTTGAGACGCGTACCGTCGAAGGGGTTATCGGAACCCGGAGGGTACTTCCTCATCTACGGAAACAAAACAGCAATTAGCACGTATCCAAGCAACACGAAACAATTGATAAATACAAAATAACAACAACAAAATAAAAGATGAACGTACCTTTCTCTCCGGCGTTTCGTTTTCGATATATTAACAAAATTTGTAAAAAAAGGAAAGAAAGAAATCCCAGAATCAACGAAACGTATGGATTTTTGCATGAAATTCGTTTACGAAACACGGAATGTAATAGAAACAAATAGAGATAGATAATAAAAATAAAATATATGAACAACACCAGAAGTGGAAGGTTTACGAGCCAAGTGAAGAGATACGAGAATAGTACGGAAATAATATACTTTGACTAATAAAGATAATAAACTAATTTCATGCAAGATTTTGTTTACATTTACATGCACTATTTAATATATATGCATAAGATAATAAACGATCCGGAGAATCTTCGATCAATAAATAGAATGTACACAAATGGAATTTCTAAGTACACTACGTATTTAAAGTCGGCCGCTCGTTGCGCAATATTTGCCAAGTTACAAGTGTTGCTATGGTAATCATGGAGATTACGAGCTACTTGATTCGAAGCAATTGTAATTGCGTGGTAGTCATGGAGACTACTCGATTAATATTCTAAACTTGACAAGTATCGCGCTTTGATTGGCCCGATTTAATATCGAGTATATCAAGCCGGCCTTCCGCTACTCGATAATTGACAAGTATCAAAAGTGCCAAGTTTATCAAGTTACGAGAGGCCGGATTTAATAAAATACACAAACAATTATATAAACTAAACAAAAAAAAAACCATCACCTACTTGTGTTGTGTTTATATGTACACATTCCCTAAAACAAAATCTATCGAGTCTTACTGAAAACAACAACAGCGTTGCCATGGTAATTACTAAAAGTCAACAGATTCTGCGACGACAACAACAACAAAAAAAACAAACCGATAATGACAACAACCCAAAAAGTAAAAAAAAATAGAGAAGCGAAGCAAAAAAAGTTGAATTTGTTAGTGTACGAATCTGTTAAAAAAAAACTAAAATTACGAAAATTGTGTTAGCCAATTAATAAGAGACAACAAGAGAGGGGGGATTCGTTTTCTTTTCTTTTGCCTGCTTGATTTTAGTGTGTTTTTTTTGCGTGTTTTTTTTCTCTTTTGTTTAATTTCGCTTTCTGTGTTAATTTTCCTCCCTCGTTTTAATGCGTGTCTGAAAGAACAAAAAAAAAACAAACAGAAACATGATGTAAAATTCTGCGTAAAAAAAAATAGTAATTATAAATTAAGTCCGCCATCCTATGCCTTCAGCGTGATTAGTTTTGTTTTCATTTTTTTTGTTGTGAAGGCCGTTTTTACCATGATCCTGTATTTCTCCTTGCACGCGTAATCGCTCTCGTCGACGTTCTCGTAGCAGTCGCTCTTGTAGTCTTCGGGAAGGGGTTTACCTTCGAATTCGCACAGCTTCTTCAGCGGTCTCGCCCTTGCAAGTAGAAAAAAAACACACAAATTTACCTCGTTTATCTTTCAAATTTGATTCGACTCACTTTACTATCAGCTTTTCGAAACCAGAAGGTTTATGGATTGGGCAGTAGAAGACTGTTGGGGTGTTTTTGTCGTAGACGATGCTCTTCCTCATCATGTCTTTTTTGCCAACCGCGAGAACCACTAAACTCGCAACAGCGACGAGCAAAAGTGCAGTTTTAGCCATGATTTTAGTGGAATGAAACCTTTGAACCAAAAAAAAACACAATTTAAGTTTAGTGCATAAGTTTAGTACTATTTCTACACGTCTTTTTCTCTCATTGTTTATAGAATTAGACATGTAGACAATTGCTACAAAGTATAAACTGTAGTTTTAGGAAAAAGTAGGGTTAGGTAAAGTTAGGTTAAGTTTTTTTTTAAATTTATATTAATTTGAAACAATTATGGAAATTTGCGTAAAAAAAAGCAAATTTCTCATTAAGTGAAATGGTTCGCACTAATTATTAAGTACCAAATGTAAAATGGTTAACTATACTCCTAAGTATGAAATAATCATGTGGTTTCAGTTATTTTTTTTACAGATTTTTCAAGATTTTCGACAAAAAAAAATAACTGAAACATCAATTATTTGTGTAATATTAAGAATAGTTTGTACGATTTTCAAGTTATTAGTGCACTAATTGGCTTTAAATGTTGTGAAATATTTTTTTGTAGTTTTAGTTGAATTTTTTACATAAACAAAAATTTATCTAAAACAACAATTACATGTGTACTATTAAGTGATTAAGTTTGTTCTGGTTAAGTTTACATTTCAAGTGATTAGTGCAGATGAAAATCTTGGCACTAATTCAAAAAAAAAACTTTCACATTCATAATTAGATTGTAAGAAAATCAAATACGTTTTGTGGTTTTAGTTGTTTTTTTTTAATCTTTCGAGATTTTCAAAGAAATAGCTAAGACAACAATCATATTTGTAATTTTAAGTACTAAAAAAAATAGTACTAAAATAAGTTGCATGAATCTCGAAAATGCTTTAAATGTCTACTCATAAGTATTAAGTATGAAATGTTCTTGCAGTTTTAGTTATTAAATTAACTAAAACATCAAGATATTAGTACAGAAAGTAATGTTGCGCAAAGAAGTAGAGGTTTTCTCAAGGCGGAATATCGCAAGGTTCGCGTCAGACACTAATTACTAAAATATATTCCACACATGTATTATTAGAAAGTAGGCTTGTTACAGAAAAAAAAAATGAATGCTAGTATTAGTGGAAAACGCGAAAGATGAATTTATCTTAGCGTTAATAATTGAAGCTTCAAATTGTATTCAGATTATAATTTTTTTTTAATAATCTCGATGTTAGATATTTCCAGAATACACTACGCTTTTTTTTTAAATTTTGATTCAATTTAAAGTTCAAATTATTAATTTTAAAAAAAAATTGTTGCAGTCTTATTTACTAAATACTACTCATAATTTAATTAACTGGTTTTCGTGTGGTCTTGGAAAATATAATAGGAAAACGCTTACATGTAACGCAGCGATATACGAAAAATTATTTTTAAGAGCTTCAAACTAATTTTAGACGCATTTCTTGATGTTAAAGCACTCAATAAATAAAATATATGCACTTAAATACGTTCTTTTTTATTTCAATCTCAATTTTACTTAAACATCAAGACGTTCCAGAAATGTTGGTCAAATTTGACGTAAAGAAACGTCAAAAATGTTTATGTAATCAAATTACATTTTTATTTGATATTTCATATGTAAATATTATGATTTCAGATGTTTCCAGAAATTGTTGTCCAGAAACGTCAAAAATGTTAATGTAATCAAATTTCACATTTTTATTTGATATTTCATATGTAAATATTATGATTTCAGAAATTGTTATCAAATTTGACATGGAGAAACGTCAAAAATGTTAATGTTAAAAAAGAATCAAATTAGACATTTTTGGTTTTGTCATTTCATATGTATGTAAATGTTACGATTTCAGATGTTACCAGAAATTGTTGTCAAATATGACATAAAGAAACGTCATAACGTTAAAAAGAATCAAATTAGACATTTACGGTTTTGTCATTTTATATATAAATGTTAGCATTTCAGATGTTTCCATAAAATGGTTGTCAAATTTGACATGGAGAAACGTCAAAAATGTTAATGTAATCAAATTACACATTTTTATTTGATATTTCATATGTAAATATTATGATTTCAGATGTTTCTAGAAATTGTTGTCGAAAAAACGTCAAATATGTTAATTAAAGAATCAAATTTGACATTTCATATGTAAATGTTACCATTTCAGATGTTTCCAGAAATTGTTGTCAAATTTGACATGAAGAAACGTCAAAACAATTTTAAAACCTTTCAAAATTTATAAATTGTTTATATTTCAATATTTCTCGTTTGCAAACATTAAATTTTGAAAATTATTAGATTCTTATTAGAGTTTATAGAAAAGACGAAACCAATTGGATTTATAAAATCTAATTGGAATTGTAAATTAAATTATGAATCTGACGTTTCTTTTCAGACAATTAACCTCACTCAATGACAATTTGACGGAAGTCAATGACAAATTTGAAGCCATTTTTATTTTACTTATATCAAAAATATTTATATTTTCTTTGTAAATTATATTAATTTTATAAAAAGAAATTTGTTTACATTAAGGAATTAATTTTCTTCTATTAAATTAGATTCTCAAAATGAAAATGTCAATGTTTGACTTAAAGAAGAAGGAAAAAAAATTGAAGAACTGATTTCATGGATATACGTGATTTTCGAGTAAATTTTCGCTTTCATCAGATTCGATCGAAGATTTAAAAATAGCCCGATGACTCAAATCGACGTTTCGAGGTGAAGAAATGAGACGAGAACAAGAGAAAATACTGAGAGGAAGAGAGAGAGAGAATAAATAAATAAATAACTTTTTAATATAAACGATTGGGAATTAGCGAAAGCGAGTTTTAGAATTGCAAAGGTCACTCGGATTTATTTTTAAATTTAGTAGGTCGAACCTTCGCAGAGTTCATAGTTCTCGCGCGAATCCATTGTGTGTGGCATTCCACAAGTTGCGCGAGGAATTGCCATATTGCGGAACTTTCTCCTTTTAAGTCTTAAGTCAGATAATAATAATAATAATAATAACAAAAAGAAGATGAAGAAAAAATAAGAGAAGAAACACATTTATACGTTAGAGTGCGTGCAGAATGCGAATGTTAATTGGATCAAACGAGACTCACCTTTAAGGGTTTCTAAGGTGGTTAAAAGGGCAGTATTGTTGAACTCTTTGGGACGGGACATTCACTGTCGCTGCTTCAGGTGTGACTGGAATACGTAAGAAACGGATGGTGTTGGTGTTTGTGGTGGTGGTATCTACCTACTAACTATACTACCTACCTCTTCGAATCCTACCTACTCTTGCCTCACCGCATTTGGTAGGTCTTTTGCGCGCAGACCGTTCTGCACATTCGAAATGGACTTGAAAGAAACGCTTTTTTTTTAATTGCCATTAAATTGGGATAATTATACGATTTGGAGGGAGGAGTAGGAAGGGGGCAAAGATCGTTCCACCTATACGAAAACATGCGATTCTCCAGCTAGGTACGACGTACGACTAGATCATAATACTCTACATTGCTGTACTCTGTTCTACTCTACTAAATCTATTTTTTGGTGGGAATATAGCGTTTGACGCGACTAGTAGAAGGTTGACGAATAAAGAAAAAAAAAAACGTTCGCGCATATGCAATATTTCAAAACAAAATTTGTATTCGTCATTGCATTATCTCTCCAGTCAATGAAGTGTACAAGCGTATCAGTGTCAATAAATATGCGCTCCGATTAGTATTCGCAAGGACATCCCTAACCTCCGAGCATCCTCATCAATCAATCGAAGCAAAAGTACACCAAAGGAAGAGAATACGCAATAGAAAAGTGGTGAGTATTCGTTTCGAAGAAAAAGTGATCAAGCAAGTCATTATTTGAATGTTAGAATCGTATGCAACACACACCGCAGCTAATTACCAGAGCTACTCTGATGTGATGTCATCATCATCATCATCAAAACAAAACCGGTTTTGAATTCGAAAATCACAGTTTCCATAGCGTCCGCATAAAAACAATCGTATCTTATTGGTAGAAGCGTTAAGGACGCCCCCCCCTTGCCAACCGTCTCTCATATCCAATAGCAACCATTGTTTACCGGTATCCGTCAATCCCGTTACGTGCGCTGTCCCGTGCACAACAGTTTGAGGTTATTATAAAAATAATAAGAAAATAGTTGTTAATTTCGCATCAACAGAATGAGCAGCAGGTGTGATTTTTCTCCTTTTTTTTTTTGGTATCTGTAAGATGTTAATTTTGATTTGTCTGTTCGGTAGCATGACGACGGAGAGCGAAGGGGCGGCCGGAGGGGACGATAATAACGGCGGCAGCGGTAAAAAGGAGAAGTCCTTGAAGGAGGAAATCGAGAGTCTGAGCCACGAGGATCTGTGCGAGGTGACGCAGAGCTCCCTGAAGAGGATCATAGCGACAGATTCGTTGCTAAGCGATCTTCCGACGGACGTCACCACCGAAGAGGTACTCGCGCAGGTGGCCGTCGTTCAAGGACAGTCCGTGACCATCAACATCTTGAGGAATCTCGACACTTCCTTCTCTGTCGTGGTAATAACGCGAATTCGCGTACAATTTTTATCGCGAATATTCATGAAATTTAATATCACAGTTTGTAATTCAATACTTGCTTTTAATGCGTCATTGAATCAACAGTGCTAAGAATGTTGCGTCTTATTTTTAATACGCAAAATTCTCAAACTTCGTATAGTTTTAGTTAGCTTATCAGAAGCGTTTTCAATAACACAACAAGACGAATATCTTTATGAAATGATTACTTTTTTAAGAAGAAACAAGAGTCGCGTCTTCTAAAATAAATGTTGATTTGAAAACATTGGACAGAAAATCAGAAATTAGTTTTTTTTATGAAGTTTTCAATTGGATAATTAAAGCTAATGTATAAATTTACAAACTGAAGCTTATTGAAAACAGAAATTGTTTACGTTTTTCGTAAGTCCGAATATGATATTATTTCAAAATTAGTTACAAGTGGACATAATTACAATTCCTGTTATGTTATTTATATAAATGAATTCATCGAAATCAACAAGAGTCGCGTCTTCTAAAATAAACGTTGATTTGAAAACATTGGACAGAAAATCAGAAATTAGTTAAAGTGGACGTTTTTTTTTTTATGAAATTTTCAATTGGATAATTAAAGCTAATGTATAAATTTACAAACTGAAGCTTTTTGAAAACAGAAATTGTTTACGTTTTTCATAAGTCCGAATATTATTTCAAAATTAGTTACAAGTGGACATAATTACGATTCCTGTTATGTTATTTATATATAAATGAATTCATCGAAATCTTTGTCGACTGGAGGAGACGACAAACCATTAATTGTTCTCTTCTGCAGATACCGCAAAGTGGAACAACTGTACGCGATCTGAAGAAGGCCATCCAGAGAGCGTTCAGCTTGCGTCAGCAGCGCATGAAGAGCAGAACGAAGGTGTCCTGGAGTTACGTGTGGAGGACTTACCATCTGCGACACGACTCGCACACTATGCGCGATAACGACGAGCTCGTCTCTAATTACGGCGTGAGGAACAAATCGAATGTTGTGTTCGTGAAGAGATTGCGCAAAGGCCAATAACTACTTACAACAATAACAACAACAACAACAACCAAAGCAACATACAACTCGCTCAATTTATTTATAATTAGGATTTTTTTGTGTGTAAATTCAGGATGCAACTGCTGACGGCAATTCTTTGCATATTACCAAGTAAGACTTTTGTTCTTCGTTCGATTTTAAATGCTGACGAAAACTAATGATGTATATTTGTTTTGGTTTTTCAGTCGTTTCGGCGAATTCCATCCCATGGCTGGAACAAATCTCGCGTCAGGAAACGCTCACCTCTGGCTGTGCGCGGTTCTCTTCGACAAAGAACGAAGGACCATTGAACGTTTCCTCGCTCAACCACATTTTAGTCGACCATCGGCATAAATTCCTCTACTGCTACGTACCCAAAGTAAGATTCATCAGCGTGATTTAGTTATAGTTACATAAGAGAGTTTTAACATTGAGTTTGTTGCTTGTTTTTGTATACTAAGAACTTTAGAATTTTAATTTTGCAGGTTGCGTGCACCAATTGGAAGAGAGTTCTGATGGTGCTGACGGGTAAGAGCAACGCGACCGACCTTGTAGGAATCTCGGCTAGCCTCGCTCACAGCGACGGCGCTTTGGAGAAGCTCACCGATCTTCCCTCCGAAGAAGCCCTGAGCGTCCTCAACAACTACACCAGCTTCATGATGGTGCGTCATCCGTTCGAACGACTGCTCAGCGCGTATCGCAACAAGCTCGAAGATGATAAGGCGAGCGCTCGCTACTTCCAGGGCATCTTCGGGCGGCACATCATCAAGAACTATCGTAAGGATCCTAAGGCCGAGGATATCCGAACCGGCGCGAACGTCACCTTCAAAGAGTTCGTGCAGTATCTGATCGCAGAGGGCGTCGATGACGACACCGCCAACGAGCATTGGAGATCGATGGATCGACTGTGCCGTCCCTGTCAGCTGAACTACACGTTCATCGGCAAGTACGACACGTTCGCCGAGGACGCGGAGGTTGTCCTAGGTATGATCAAAGCGCCGAAACTGATCTTCCCGCAGACGAGGTCGGGGAGGACGGCCGAACGCATCCGATTGTATTACCAGAAGTTGAGTCTGGAGGAGATCGAGATGCTTTACAAGATATACAGGAAGGATTTCAAGTATTTCGGATACGGTTTGGACAATGTCTTGGGCTACGACATCGGGTGATGAATGAAGCTCTCTCTTAATTCTCTCTATATAAACATATTTAGTACAAATACTAGTCCGTGGACGCAGGCTACCTCAAACCAGGTGCTTAACATATTATATATATTTTTTGTTTTTTTTTGTAAATACAAACCAGTTTCGATATTTTTAAATCAATTCGTTTCATCACTTCCTCTTGATGATTTCCGGCTTGTAATCGTGCTTGATGGCTTCGCCGAATTTCTCCGCGTACATATCCAATCGTTGAGTCATCTGCAAAACGAAAATTACCACCAAATACTTTCTATTATTTCAATTACCTGGAAACCCCAATTATCCTTCACTTGTCTGCAAAGATTCAAATCCATCTCGGCGACGAGAAGGCCGTTCTTGGTCCTCGACAGTCCAGGAGTTCGCGACCCGTTCGGAGCGGCCACGTAACTGGATCCGTAGAAATGCCCGAAGTTCTTGTGCGCCCTATTACCATCGCCCGAAGTGAACTCGTTCTGAAAGACTTCGGTGCCCACGCGGTTGATGGCGCACGTGAAGTACCCGTTGGCGATGGCCGCGTTCCTAGCCTCGATCCCCCACAGAGGTTCGCTCAATCCGTTAACAGTCGCCGATGGATTGAACACGATCTCCGCCCCGTTCAATCCGAACATCAACCAGTTCATCGGATGGTGACGACCGTAACAGATATTTATGGCCAATCTCCCAAACTCGGTCTCGAAGACGGGATGACCGGTGTTCCCTTCGATGTAGTACGTCGACTCGTTGAAGTCGCCGACGCGCGGGATGTGGTTCTTCCTGTGCTTCCCCAGATAATCCCCGTGATTATCGATCACCACGGCCGTATTCCAAATCGTGTCGCAGTGCGAAGAATCCCTCTCCAGGATCGGCGAGATTATCACCATGTTGTACTGCTTGGCTAACTGCTGCAGGAACACAGTCGTCGGACCGTCTTCAGCAGCCTCTGCGTATTCGCACCAAGGGTACTTCTCGCGCGTGCAAAACGCGAACGGCATATCTGCAACAATCACACAACGTCAGTCAATTAATTGAATTCATCATTGATACACTCACTCCAAGCTTCTTGGAAGCAGAACACGTTGACGCCGCTGCAGAACGCCGTCAGCAAGGCTCTCTTGGCCATCCCGTAAAAGGCGTGTCTCTGCTGCTCGATTGGAGCCCAGGTCTCGAGGGGCGTGGCATTCTGGAAAACGCCCACCCTCACCAGGCGCGGTGCCCTCAACTGCTCCTGTCTAATGTCGAAGCCGTAACCTTTCAACTCGAAATTATCGATCTCTGCATGATTTAACGCTTCGCTCGACAATTGCAATGGACTGCAAAAAATAAAATTAGTAAACATTTCTAGTAGACTATATGGGCGTGGTTTAAAGAAAACAAAAACTTGAATTTTAAAGATTTGAAATCGAAGACAAAAAAAAATTAGAGAAATATGCTCGATCCGTCCCTGCGCGTTTTATATAAATGCGTGCGCATTTCCAGGACTTTATCGTCTTAGGATTACAAAGATATGTGATAACGTAAGCAAAATAAATCAAGCGTTACGTAACGAGCGTTTAGCAAAAAAAGAAAAAATATAGTTGCTGACTAACATACAAATTCCATATATAAAATATTCATTACTAAATCGAAAATAGTATTAAAAAATTACGCGTCAATAAAAAATATCTTTCGATTTTTCACACCGAGTTTGTTTTCTAATAAATAATATACTCATTTTGATTGTATGAAAATATTTGTTTTTCAATAAATTTGATTCGTGTGTTGTCAAGGTAACGTGGATTCAAAAATAACTTAAGACTATTTAATTATTTTGTTTATTTATTTCGTATCGATGGCAACTTACTTGACGGCAGGACCGTAGAGGACGCGCCTGACGTGCTGAGCGTCTTCGCCGGTCAACTTGTCGAGGATGCTCTCGACGCTCTCGAATTGTTCGGTGTCCATCACTGGATGATAACAAAGATGTCGAAGGAATAACGCGTCGCGACTCTTAAAAGCGATTTGATATTGGAGTCGCGAGAGCAGAGCGATAAATAGACGAAAACTGGGGAAACAGGGCCGGAGTCAGGTGGGAAAAATAAGAAGACAAATAGTAAAAGATTCGGTTGCGTCTATTTGCACGTGATGCTTATTATCCGAATATCGTCGAAGGGTTTATCGGTTTTCGCGTTCGTCTTCACGTTGCTGATGTTCTGGATGACCTCCATACCTTTGATGACACGTCCGAACACCGTGTGCTTGTTGTCCAGCCACGGCGTCGGCGTCAGCGTTATGAAGAACTGACTTCCGTTGGTGTTCGGTCCGGCGTTCGCCATCGACAACGTGTACGGTCTGTCGTGCCTGAGATGCGGTCTGATCTCGTCCTCGAATTCTCCGCCCCAGATGCTCTCGCCCCCGGTACCGTTCCCCGTGGGATCGCCCGTCTGAATCATGAAGCCCTTGATCACGCGATGAAAGATGTGCCCGTTGTAATAACCGTTCTTGCTGTGCACGCAGAAGTTCTCCACCGTCTTCGGCGTGTCCTTCAGCAGTAACTTGACGTGGATATCTCCGAACACCGTGTGCATTATAGCGGTCTCGTACAACCGCTGCGTGGCCGGACTGTCGGAAACAGCGAACGTATCCTCCTTGGAAGGTTTCTCGTTGAAGATGTCCCTGTCCTGTCCGTGACTGCTCGGATCGTCCGGCTCCCTCCTCGTGAAGATGTAGAACCTCGATTTCTTGTACGCAGTGCAGATCAGCGTCGGATCCGGTTTGATCGCTTCTAATATAGGATTATTCGCGGCTTCAATCTGCAGCGTCACGGCAGCTTTTCCCTTCTTCGCCGATCCTTGATACAGAGACACGTGCAGCAGCCGCAAATTCTCGTTCTTTCCAATCACGCAAACGCATCTATTAGAAACTATATTCACCAGCTTCACACCCAGCAGCGTCGGATACAGTACGAAATATCCAGATTCATCGAAAACGATGTTGTTCAACGTGTAAAACTCGCTCTTCTCCAAATCCCTCTCCACGGCCATCCTCCGCCCAAACTCCATGTTGGGTAAATGTTGCTTCGACTGCTGCGACTCCGTGAATCTCGGCAGAGTCTCATCCAGCACCCTCAACAGTTTCCCAGTGTAAAAACTGAACACCCGCACTCTTCTATCCGTCGAAGTTGTAGCAAACTTCTGACCGTCCTTGGAAATCGCCAAACCTGTTGGCACAGTTTTGTTCTTAGCATACTCAAACAAATCCGTATCGAGTTTAGAATCGAACCCAACGTTTTTAGGGAATCCAAAATCGTTTTTCATTCCTGACCAATATTCTGAAAAAATAATTAAATTAAATTATAATTCATACAAATTTATGTACTAAATTACCTAAAATCCCATTTGAATCCACTGAAATTGTGATATCCAAAGCAGCGTTATATTTAATAATTGTAACTGGTTTAGTGTGGATTTTATCTAACGTATGTAAGGGCTCATTCGTTCCCCTGCCATCGTAAATATTAATCTTCACACTCTCCATATCACCCACGGCCAGGGAATGCACAGCGTCCCCCGATCCATGCACCCATTCCACACAGCTCGGCACGTAGTCCAGCTTAATCATGTTGATCATATCGAAGTTGATGACATCGAAGATTTTCAACGATCTATCACTGGAAGCGGAGCACAGCAGACTGCCTTCAGCGTTCGCAGCTATACTCTTGATGGGTCCCAGATGGCTGCGAAAATGCTTCACGAATTCGATGTTATTCTCGACCTTCTTCCAGAACTTGATGTGCCCATCGCAGCTGGCCGTGACTATGAAATCCGTCCATGTTACCAAGCAGTGCGTTATGGTGTCTCGGTGCATGTAGGATTTCTCGTAGGATTCGGCGTTCGGCAGGTTCTCCAAGTAGAGGTTCTCGTACGGCAGAACTTTGCGTTTCTTGGGCGCCGGAGGCTCGAGGGGCGCGGGCCCCACGAAACCATCGGAGTCTTCAGAATCGGAACCGCTCATAACCTCACAATTAACACAACAAAAACAATAATAAACTGGAGAGCAACCAGTTGGTTTGGTTGGTTGGTAGCGCTTAATTGGAATTACAAGGAGGCAACTTTATTAGGTGTGAGAAAAGTTACATAATATTTTAGTTGGTATGAAACGTTGAAACAAAAAATTCAAATATACAAAGTGGATTTAGTTAATGAATTAATTAAAATTAGTTATTTTTAATTATTATAATAAATAATAGTCTATTTCGTATACTTAGAAAGTTTAAATCGTTTGTAAAAAAATTTAAAGTTTGGTATGTTGGTCATGCGGTGCGAACGTCAACCCCCATTATTCTTTGATTATAAATAAAAAACATAACCTCCAAAGACTTCTCTTGTTTTCACTTTTGCAGTGGGCTGAAATGGCAAAGCGAAGATAATGGCTACGGACAACACACTCGACTACGACGATATCATATCGCAGAATATTCTGATCAGGAAGGATCAGGATGCTACCGATGAGCAGGTGAATTACACTGTTGAGGTGGTGAAGAAGCAGAACGAAGACTACGAGAACATGTACAACATTCAGGCAGCCCTCTATCAAATGGATGATAAGAACCAGAATGCTGAGTCCGAGGAGGAGGAGGATGATGATGATGATGGATCCGGGGGAGAGCAAGAAGGTTGGTGATTTGTTGAAATGCAGTGAGAGATAGAAACGTGACAAAATTTTGCAGATTTATCGGATTATGACTATGAGGTTGAGACTGAGCAGCAGCAGCAGGATCAGAGTCGACAGGATTCGTCGCCGTTATCAGAGAGCGGCTCGGAGAGTGAATGGGTGCCGAACGAGAGCAAAAACAAAGGTGGAAAGAAGATGTACAAATGCTTGATATGCTCGAAGGAATGTCCAACTAAGAAGGGCCTCACCTTGCACACCATCAGGAAGCACAAGAGTAAACCGACGGAAGAGGAAACCAATAAATAAATGTTTTATATATAATGGAAGATGCATGGACTCCCAATCGTAAAGAAAACAAGCTTCAACTGTGTGATAGCTCCAAGAAACTGCACTTCATATAGATTTAGTCACAAAAAAAAAGATGCTTTTATTTATTTTTCAAATGTTAACATTACTATTTTTTTGTTTCTCTCTTTATGTTCAATTTACTATTAATTTATTATATAATAATGGTAATATTAATAATGATTATTTGGATATTAAATAGTTTCGTATATTATACAGTGTTTTCTGATTCCCGACTATTTTAATCTTAGCTTATTTGCGCGAGGACGAAAAAGAATACAGGCTAATAGTAGTTTTATTACTCTGTTTACTAGGATCAAGGTGCTTTTGGATGGACAACATCAAGGCAATTGTTTCGAGATTACGATTTGCTCTAATAAAACAAACACACACCGTTTAATTTTGCTGTTAAAATATTCTAATTCAATGTAAAAAAATCTATATTTTATAGATTCCGCAATGCGGACTTGATTGATGTAGCTTCTCAAATTTTAATAACAAATAATGGAAACGTAACTAAATCAAGAACGTGCCGAAAAGTTGATAATTTTTCGAGTGCAAATTTGTTTTTTTGTTTGTTTTGTTTTTCGTGTTGCAAATGCGTTCATAAAATCCTTGCCGAAACATCGGAATAATGATAATTATTGATGCAAATAGTTATGAAAATATAAACAAATATATGCGGGAAAATAGAATATGTTTACAACGAAAAAAAAAAGTAAATATGAGCAGCAGATTAAAGTAAATAACAAAGACGAATTGTTTAAATATTCTGCTCGACATACGTAGCTTTTTGCTTCCAATTAGTGTTATCTGAGAAATTCCTCCTAATCGCAGGTAATATAAAAGGATGTCCGCGGAGGAGATACGCATTCAATTTTCCATTGACAAAGATGTATCTGATTAAAGTTTCCCAATTTTGCTTAGTGTTAGTAGGCGTTGCATCCTGGTGCAATGCAGAGAAGAAACCGAATATTGTGATGATCGTTGCCGATGATGTAGTAAGTTTTAATTAAAAATGTTATTATTGTTATGGATTTTGTTGTTATGGAGATTTATTGATATCTGCAATTGTTAGAAACCTTCATTGATTTCGTTGTCGTGGAGATTTTTACCCAATTTAGAACTGCCCAAAATAAGATTTTAATTTTTTTAAGAAACTCTGAACTTTTTTTGTAAAAGAAAAACAACAAAAGTAGAAATTTGTTGTAAGTGTTAATTGGAAATGTTATTATTGTCTTAAATTTTATGTTACGGATTTTGTTGTCATGGAGATTTATTGATATCTGCAATTGTTAGAAATCTTCATTGATTTTGTTGTCGTGGAGATTAGATTTTTACCCAATTGAGAATTGCCCAAAATAGATAAGATTTTGAAACTTTTAAGAAACTCTGAACTTTTTATGTAAAAGAAAAACAAAACAAAAGTAGAAATTTGTAATAAGTGTTAATTGGAAATGTTATTATTGTTTTACATTTTATGTTAGGAATTTTGTTGTCATGGAAATTTATTGATATCTGCAATTGTTAGAAATCTTCATTGATTTCGTTGTCGTGGAGATTTTTACCCAATTGAGAACTGCCCAAAATAGATAAGATTTTGAATTTTTTAAGAAACTCTGAACTTTTTCTGTAAAAGAAAAACAAAACAAAAGTAGAAATTTGTTGTAAGTGTTAATTGGAAATCTTATTACTGTTTTAAATTTTATGTTAGGGATTTTGTTGTCATGGAAATTTATTGATATCTGCAATTGTTAGAAATCTTCATTGATTTTGTTGTCGTGGAGATTAGATTTTTACCCAATTGAGAATTGCCCAAAATAAATAAGATTTTTAAGAAACTCTGAACTTTTTTTTGTAAAAGAAAAACAAAACAAAAGTAGAAATTTGTAATGAGTGTTAATTGGAAATGTTATTATTGTTTTACATTTTATGTTGGGGATTTTGTTGTCATGGAAATTTATTGATATCTGCAATTGTTAGAAATCTTCATTGATTTTGTTTTTCGTGGAGATTAGATTTTTACCCAATTGAGAATTGCCCAAAATAAATAAGATTTTTAAGAAACTCTGAACTTTTTTTTGTAAAAGAAAAACAAAACAAAAGTAGAAATTTGTAGTAAGTGTTAATTGGAAATGTTATTATTGTTTTACATTTTATGTTAGGAATTTTGTTGTCATGGAAATTTATTGATATCTGCAATTGTTAGAAATCTTCATTGATTTCGTTGTCGTGGAGATTTTCACCTAATTGAGAACTGCCCAAAATAGATAAGATTTTAATTTTTTTAAGAAACTCTGAACTAAAATAATAATATTTTGAAATTTTTAAGAAACTCTAACTTTTTCTGTAAAAGATAACAAAAGTCTAAATTTTCTTGGCATATTTTTTTTTGTTTATAATTTGATGTTACTTGTGGATGTGTATTTTGTTGTCATGGTTACTTGTTGACTTCTCCATTATTCCGAAATCTCCTTATGTCGTTGTCATGGATATTTCTTTGTTTTAGGGGTGGAACGATGTTGGTTTCCATGGATCGAATCAGATAAACACGCCTAACATCGACGCTTTAGGTCTGAACGGAATCTACTTCGACAGGTACTACGCCCAGCAGAGTTGCACCCCATCCAGATCAGCTCTTTTGACCGGAAGATACCCGATTCGTTTAGGTGCGATTATTGTTCAAAAGTTCAGCGTGTTTTCGGATTTCAATCAATTTTTTTTGTTTAGGTTATCAGGGATTGCCTATAAACCCAGGAGAAAATCGCTCGATTTCGCACGACTTCTGGACGTTGCCCAAAGCTCTGAAAGGTCTCGGCTACATGAACCATCTCGTTGGTAAGTGGCATCTAGGTTCGGCGTCCAAGAATTTCACACCGCAGGCCTACGGCTACGATTCGCACTACGGCTATCTGGATGGTTTCGTCTCTTACTTCGATCACGACATCCAGAGCGATGGTCATTTGGGCAAAGACATGTACAGCGATCACCAACCGTTGACTAACACCACCGGCGAATACTTCACCGACATGGTGACGAGGAGGTCGATCGAAGTGATCAAGAATCATCCGCAGGAGAAGCCTCTTCATCTGGTCATCTCGCATCTGGCAGCTCACACCGGAAAGTCCACCGGTGATATGGACGGAGTTCTGGAGGTGGCAAGTGATGAGTACAACGATAAAAAGTACGGTTACATTCCGGATAAAATCAGAAGGATGTACGCAGGTGAGCGTATCCATTTAGTTATATAAAAACTGCAACGAAACGTAACGAGAATCTTGTAGAAATCGTGGAGAGAATGGATACTTCCATTGGAGATGTCGTCGAAGCTTTGGATCGCAAAGGCATCCTCGACAACACCATCATCGTGTTCTTCTCCGATAACGGTGCTCCGACCAACGGATTCTTCAAGAATCGCGGCTCAAATTTCCCATTTAGAGGAGTAATTAGCAATAATTAGAATTAGCAATATTTGATGAATTATTTTGATGAATTCGTACATTTGCAGATCAAATTGAGTCTCTTCGAGGGCGGTGTTCGAGTGCCCGCTGTTGTTTACAGTTCGAAATTCAAGAATAAGGGCAGAATCTATAAAAATCTCTTTCACATCACAGATTGGGCACCAACTTTGTACTCGGCTGCCGGTATTTATATTATCTTAAATATGACTACAATTTACCAAATATTTACAAAATTATTGCTCAATTTAAATATGAAAATTTAAGGAAAGTTTTGCGAACAAAATATTTTAGGAAACTTGCTGAAATTTTTAAATTTAAATGTAATTTGTTTTAAAATTAGGTGGAGATGCGAGCAAATTGGGTTTGGACGGTGCAAATCAGTGGACAAATCTCGTCTATGATTCAAAGCTAGTGAAAAGAGATGAAATTTTGCTGAACATCGATGAAGTGGAAGGATATTCCGGTTTGATCAAAGGAAGATACAAATTGATTAACAGTACATTGACAATTATTAAATCCATATATGCAAATATAATCAATACTTTTGCAGGTACATTCGGTGACGGCGACGAAACCTTCAACAATTACACGGGTGAAGTGTCTGTAAATAGACCTTACAACGTCCGTAAAGTGCTCATGAGCAAAACGAACAGAGCTCTAGGAAATTGCAAAACTTTGAATCAGGAAAAACTTCTGTTGGCTCTGCGCAAAAAGATGACCATGCCTAATTGCAGACCGAACGTGGACACGTTAAAGTGTCCAGGCGAGTGCCTTTTCGACCTCAAAGAGGATCCGTGCGAGAGCAAAGACATCTCGAAAAAGTTACCTCGCGTCACGGAAAACCTACGGAATCGTCTTCAGATTTTCAACGATGAACGCAAGCCGCAACTCAACCGTCCCGTCGATCCCAACTCCAATCCTCAACACTGCAACGGCTTTTGGTATCCTTGGATGGACGAGGACGGCTGCTGGTTCGACTCCCATCAAATCTAAACGAAAACAAATACAAAAAACGAAACAGCAAATAAATGATTCTCTCTTAAACTATCCAACGTGTTTCTGTAATATCCTTACTCACTGACGTTTCACATGTTTGACATGTGTCAATAACAATATTATCTTAGATGACGTTTGACATTAAAGAATATGTCTAAATTAAGAACTGAACTTTTTCATATAAAGATATTTTGTTAAACATAAAATAAACCTGTCCTCTTTGACCTGTCGCCAAAAAAAAAACCGAACAACACATACAGTTGACATTGGAAATGTTAACAATTTTTTAAAAAGTAATTTCTAATGAACGTTTTTAATTTATGAAAATGTAAACGATATTTGTTATGTGAAAATAAGCTTTTAATTAGAAGTTTTTAATTAAATTATGACTATGATAAATTATATTGTTTATCTACATATTAACTGACTCGCACTTGTTTTCGTCGCATTGCATATGCAACTAGTTTTTATTATGTATTTTTTTTGAATTATTGTAATATTACACATAATATGCATAATAATTACACAAAATAGTTCTTATCTTTGAAAATGCGCTGATAGGCTAGTTATTATGTAGTTTTATTTGAAATTCGTGTGTATATTAAGTAATAGTTTATGAGGAAGTGAACGGCAGTCGTTGCTAATGATTGCTAAGAGATGGATGTGTTGTGTTTTGTTTTCTTGGCTCTCCTCGATCTTTGCTTTTGCGGCAAATCATCTTTTTCTCCTCCTAACATCGTTGTTGTGATCGCTGACGATATGGTGAGTTTGTGTTGATCGAGTTTGAATGAAATTTGATTGGAATTGAAGGGATGGAACGATGTGGGATTGCACGGATCCACGCAAATTTCCACCCCGAACATCGACTCTCTAGGTCTGAACGGCGTCATCTTCGATAAGCATTACGCGCAGCAGAGTTGCACACCATCGAGGGCGGCTTTCTTAACCGGAAGTTACCCGATTCACACCGGATATCAAGGGATTCCCATACTGCCAGGAGAGATTCGATCTATCCCACACGATCTTCCGAATCTACCAAAAGCCCTCCAAAGTTTAGGATACAGCACGCACGCAGCAAATGGCATTTGGGATCCGCTTCCAAATCGCACACACCTTTGAGTTACGGCTACGATTCGCATTACGGCTACTGGGAAGGCTTCATCGGTTACTTCAATCATTCTCTAGACACCAAGGTCACTTGCTAATTGTCTAAATCTAATAGTAATCGAAATAATTTAACTATTTTTAGGGTCTGACTGGACAGAATTTCTACAGCAATTATCAACCGTTACCCAACGTTACCGGGCATTACGTAACTGATCTTCTGACAAGAAAAGCGATGGATATTACCGAAAATCGAGACGTATCCGATTCGTACGAAGCATCGGAATAATATGGTAATTATTGATGCAAATAGTGTACAAATGTAAACAAATATATGCGGGAAAATAGAATATGCTTACAAGTAAAAATGGAAAGCAAAATAAAGTAAATAATAAAGACGAATTGTTTAAATATTCTGCGCGACTTTCGTAGCTTTTTGCTTCCAATTAGTGTTATCTGAGAAATTCCTCCTAATAGCAGGTAATATAAAAGGATGTCCGCGGAGGAGATACGCATTCAATTTTCCATTGACAAAGATGTATCTGATTAAAGTTTCCCAATTTTGCTTAGCGTTAGTAGGCGTTGCATCCTGGTGCAATGCAGAAAAGAAACCGAATATTGTGATGATCGTGGCCGACGATGTAGTAAGTTTTAATTGGAAATGTTATTATTGTTTTAAATTTTGTTGCCATGGAGATTTATTGATATCTGCAATTGTTAGAAACTTTCATTGATTTCGTTGTCGTGGAGATTTTTACCCAATTGAGAACTGCTCAAAATAGATAAGATTTTGAAATTTTTAAGAAACTCTAACATTTTCTGTAAAAGAAAAACAAAACAAAAGTAGAAATTTGCTTAGCATATTTTGTTGTCATGGTTATTTGTTGACTTTTACAATATTCCGAAATCTCCTATATGTCGTTGTCATGGATATTTCTTTGTTTTAGGGGTGGAACGATGTTGGTTTCCATGGATCGAATCAGATAGACACGCCTAACATCGACGCTTTAGGTCTGAACGGAATCTACTTCGATAGGTACTACGCTCAGCAGAGTTGCACCCCATCCAGATCAGCTCTTTTGACTGGAAGATACCCGATTCGATTAGGTGCGATTATTGTTCAAGCGTGTTTTCGGATTTGAATGAATTGTTTGTTCAGGTTATCAGGGAAAGCCTCTACACGCGGGAGAAAACCGCTCGATTTCGCACGACTTCTGGACATTGCCCAAAGCTCTGAAAGGTCTCGGCTACATGAACCATCTCGTTGGTAAGTGGCATCTGGGTTCGGCGTCCAAGAATTTCACACCGCAAGCCTACGGCTACGATTCCCACTACGGCTATCTGGATGGTTTTGTCTCTTACTTCGATCACGACATCCAGAGCGATGGTCATTTGGGCAAAGACATGTACAGCGATCACCAACCATTGACTAACACCACCGGCGAATACTTCACCGACCTGGTGACGAGGAAGTCGATCGAAGTGATCAAGAATCATCCGCAAGAGAAGCCTCTTCATCTGGTTATCTCGCATCTGGCAGCTCACACCGGAAAGTCCACCAGTATGGGCGGCTTTCTGGAGGTAGCAAGTGATGAGTACAACGATAAAAAGTACGGTTACATTCCGGATAAAATCAGAAGAATGTACGCAGGTGAGCGTATCCATTTAGTTATATAAAAACTGCAACGAAAAGTAACGAGAATCTTGTAGAAATCGTGGAGAGAATGGATACTTCCATTGGAGATGTCGTCGAAGCTTTGGATCGCAAAGGCATCCTCGACAACACCATCATCGTGTTCTTCTCCGATAACGGTGCTCCGACCAACGGATTCTTCAAGAATCGCGGCTCAAATTTCCCATTTAGAGGAGTAATTAGCAATAATTAGAATTAGCAATATTTGATGAATTATTTTGATGAATTCGTACATTTGCAGATCAAATTGAGTCTCTTCGAGGGCGGTGTTCGAGTGCCCGCTGTTGTTTACAGTTCGAAATTCAAGAATAAGGGCAGAATCTATAAAAATCTCTT